TATATCACTGATTGATCTTTGTTCTTTATATAAATAAATGACCTTTGAAAAACATAGACAAAATACGTCATAACTTTTCTGACAACCCAATAGCTACATAGTAGTAAGGCCAAAAGCATATTTGTCAATGTGCAGTTAAAGGCCACATCCCTAGTTAAAAGGGTTTTAGACCATACAAGTCACTGAACAGGTAGGAAAATAGCTGGGGTGGTGGTGGTGGTAGTGGTGCAGTGTTACAGAGATGAGCTCTTCTACAGAAAAACCTATTGCTTATTTCTCCGACAAAGTGCCTCTTATAGTTTGTATTCCAGCTTCCAGCCTCCAGTCTTTAGGCTTGATTGTGAATTAGCATTCATTCTTGGAAGACATTAATTAGGTTATTCGGATTGTTTCTGTCCCAGTATTTCTAAATATTCAAGCGGTCATTTCTTATTCTATTGGGTTGTCGGAAAAGTCATGCATTTTTGCAATGAAAAACAGAAAAAATACGTTATGATTTTTCTGACAGCCCAATACTTTTAATCTCTATTTGTCATCTAGGAGTTACTCCAGTTAACTGTTTACTTGAATATTTTTGTATAATATAAATATATAGCTGAAAAAATAGAAATCTTGCTGTTTTCTTGATCTATACATCTAAGGCCAAGGGTTTTCTCTGGTCTCATAATTTGATATGTATAATAGTTACAGAATTTGAAGAGGTATTTTAAGTCCTATAAGTTACATCGCTGTCCTAATTTTCACAGGTCTTTGTCCCTACACAATTGTTTTTTTTTTCCAGCCTACGCCGTCACCGGTGACTCATGGAAGCCTAGCTCCAGGTTGAGCTGTTGTTCAGCATCTTAGCTGTAGAGGGCAGTGTCACTGGCCCTCATATGTGGGGTCCGAACCAGGGACCCTCTGGTGTCCCAAACCAGTTCTTAACCATCACGCCACTTGGCTGGCCCTGTCCCTACACAATTTTATTACTACTTATACCCCATATAATTTATAGTCTTTTTTAGTAAATTTTACCTATTTACTACTTTCAGAAACTTTCTCATTAGGTTGTCATGTCTCTGACTGTAACCAATTTGGTGCTTACTATTTTTCTGACTTTATTATATGCTAATATATTTTTTCATAAATTTTCTCATTTTGAACAAGCATAGCCTTGAATAATTTAAGTTTCTATCTAAGATCCATGGACGGTGTGAATTATAGTGTTCTGTCCACAGCTAAGAGGCGATGCTGTCCATCTGAAATTGCTGGTAAGGAATGAGGAGAAGGCTAGCTCTCTGCTTTGGTCAGGTAATCACCGTGAGACTTCATTCTTATGTTTGAAGTGTTGTGAACTCAAAGACTATCAGAAAGAAATATTTCTTTTCACATAAAAACATGACTTTCCCCAAATGAAATATAGATTTTAAAATTATTTTTTGTGTCAGTACAACTACAGTCCTGCTTCCTCCCAATAGGGAAGACAGATGACATACGGGGAAACTGCAGGCCTTGATGTGAAGCATCTTTGTTTGAATTCTGACTACCAATTATGAATTCGATGGCCTTACATAGGTGATGTAGCCTCTCTGAGCATCAGTTTCCTGATCTGTAACATGCATGAGTTTAGAGGACTTTTAGGAAGGTGAAAGTAGCTTGACGGTTTTTCAGATTTTCCCCACCTCAAAATAATTCAAGTTACCTCAGCCACCACCTAGTAGTCTTCTGTTCTGAGTTACTAGAAATCTAGAAGCGAGAGGGCCATGTTGTGTGACAGCTGAAGATTTGGCTCCAGGCAATCACATCTGCCTCTTGTTTCCATCCACCTTCTTTGACTATTTACGTATAAAAACCTGAACACATAAGACTCCCATCTGACCCCACAGTGAGTCAGAAACCCACAATAGTCCTTTTCCCATGCTTTATATGTCTTACGGTATTTGCTTATAATCATGTGACCAACTTAGAACCTGCCAGAATCTGCAATTGCCTTAGTGTGTTTTAGTTCCTGCCCACTTACTTCTGTCCAATTCTAACCCTCAAAGCATTTTCTAAATATATCTTTTGCTCTCCTACTTTTTTTTTACTGATTAAAGACTCTTAGACTTTTTTCTTTATCATAATTACTCCCTATCACTTTTTTCTTTCCCTCATTACCTAAAAACGCATCTTCTCCTCTAACCCAGGATTGTCTCCTAGCTCCTGCTGCTTCTATTTATCACCATCTCCTCTAACTAATGTCTTTCCCTGTTCACCATCCCTTCTTTCCAATGATAACTCATTGTATGTCTACCTTCCTCTCTGAGGGTGCCACCTCTTACTACCTAGGCCACTTCTCTAAGTTCTAGATTGGGGAAGTTAATTTTAAAGAGTTTTCCTCCCAATAGGTAAATACCTATTTCATTTGGTTTATTTTCTGTTCCTGTTATAATAGATCCCTTTCTTCCAACATGGGGAGGAAACAACACTTGCATTTTTCTATTCACATTTTTAGGTGGCAAGCTGGTGGTAGACAAAGTATTGACAACAAAGCAATAAATTATTGACTGTATAGCATCAGCGGCCATACTATCGCCAGGAGGTCTCCCTGGGGAAACTCCTTCAGGACAGATAATTGAAGAAGGTTTGGGGGGTCTGGAAAACTTTAAGAAGCCAAAAGGAAATGCTGCAAGGAATAAAATGAGTCAGCTTCCTTCCCAGAAAAGACATTTTATTTTATTTTATTTTTTAGCTGAGCCATTCTGCCACCTGTTGGCAGCTCTGTGGCAGCTCAGCTTGGGCTGGGAATTGAACTGGTGACCCTGTTGCTCAGAGCTCATACTCTTGAGCAAGCTCTTAGCAACTGAGCCAGTCGGCCGGCCCTCCCAGAAAAGGCATTTTAGTCTGGCAACGTTCAACAAGAAAATCTCCACAGAAGAGAATGTCCTTGAATGTGATGAAAGTGAGGGAAGGTTTAGTCTGACCTCGAATGTTATAACGCAACAGAGAATTCACACTGGGGGAAAGCTCTATGCGTGCTTTGGCTGTGGAAAAGCCTTTTGCCAGAGCTCAAAGCTGATTAGACATCAGAGAATTCATACTGTAGAGAGACCTTATGCATGTAAAGAATGTGGCAGAGCCTTGAAGTTGAACTCAGACCTTGATAGACATCAGAGAATTCATAGTGGAGAAAAACGCTATGAATGCTGTGAATTTGGAAAAGTTTTCAGGGGCAGCTCAGAGCTCATCAGGCATCGGAGAATTCACACTGGAGAGAAAGGCTATGAATGTGTTGAATGTGGTAAAGCTTTTGGTAGAAGTTCTATCTTTATTGAACATCAAAGAATTCACACTGGAGAGAAACCTTATGAATGTCATGAATGTGGGAAATCCTTCAATCAGAGCTCAGCCCTCACCCAGCACCAGAGAATCCACACTTGGGAGAAGCCTGATGAATGTAGTGAATGCAGGAAAACATTTAGGCATAGGTCAGGCCTTAGGCAGCATCAGAGAACTCACACCAGAGTTTAACTCTGTGGGTAAGAGTTGTGCAATTGTAAAATATAAGGAATTCACTTTGGTTTGAGACGCTACAGAAGTTCCCTAAGAGCAGAGTTCCTGTCCTCCCAGCCCAGTCAATACTTTAAGAGTAGATCCACATGAAGATGATTGTTAGAGTGTTGACTGGGAGCCTTCACATAAGTCCAGGACTGGAGCAGAGGTCCTGGAAGGGCTCCTTGTGGGATGGACCGTGAGGAGGTGCCTCTGATGTCCAGCATCCCTTCCCAGCAAGAGCATTGGTGCATCCGGCAGTTGGAGGCATGTGCTGAGAGTTATTCAGTTATCTGAAGTGTTGAGTTGTGAGACTGTGAAGTGTTGAATTATGCCCTGGATCAGGTTAGCAGCAGCTGGAGAATGGTAGCTCATTCTACCCTCTCGCCAGTTCTCTCCTCAGCCCTGAGCTTGCTGAGGCCAATTGAGGTCTGCTTATTTGTTGAGCACCTGCTATGTGCCAGCTCTCAGGGGTAGACATGGCTGTTGCCCTCCCAGAGTGAAGAGCTAATGGGATATGCGTATTTATTAAACAGATCATTACAGTAAAGTGTGGTAAGTGCTTTGGTAGGATAAATCCAGGATTCTGTTGAAATACAGGGCAGGGGTACCTAACCTGGTCTATGAGTCACTAAAGGCTTCCTGGGTGTGAAAAAATCTCAGCTGAGACATAAAAGGCAGGTAGAAGTTAGTCAGAGCAAGGTAAGAGGGACGTGAAGAATATTACAGGCAGAATTACAGTTTGTACAACGGCATGGAGAGGACCTGCGGACATCCCTTCACCAGGACTCTTCTCTCTGAAGGGATTGGTTCTTACAGACCCTGGTTCAGAAGCCAGGACATGTGCTGGCTCCTCTCTTCGTATTTATTTTTTTTACTTATTTTTATTTATTTATTTTTTAAATTGTTTTTTTTTAATTTATTTTTTTATTGGGGAACAGTGTGTTTTTCCAGGACCCATCAGTTCCAAGTCAAGTAGTTGTTTCAATCTAGTTGTGGAGGGCACAACTCAGTGGCCCATGTGGGATTGAACCGGCAACCTTGTTGTTATGAGCACTGTGCTCTAACCATCTGAGCTAACCGGCCACCCTCTATCTTCGTATTTATGATCATTGAGTTGGGGAGCCTATCCCAGGCCCAGAAGGACCTAAGAGACCTTGAAATACTCAGAATTAGTGTGATGGAAGACTTTGGTTAGTTGTATGAAGAAGGTGTGTATGTGCACCAAAGAAAGAATACATATGAGAGGCTGGAGGGACAGTCAGGACTGGAGTGTCTGTGTCCCATGACCCTGAAGCCTGGGAAATAGAAGCTGATAGGAACACAGGAATGGGAGGTCTGCCTTCCCAGGCTCCACTAGTCCTTGTTCCCTGTTCCCTCCTGTCATGGCCAGACTTTCAGATGCTAGGCTACTTGAGGGCAATGAATATTTGTTGAATTACCCCCTCAGATTCCTCAGAACCTTACTCTGCTAGTTTTTGACAGTTTTCATTAACCCATAATTAATTGCTGAAGGCAATTAACACCTAAGAAAATTTGATTCTTCTTCTAAGATGTCCTGGTTTCCCTCCCAAATACTGTCACTTCTGAATAAGACTTGGTGATCAAATCTGTTGTGGGTAAGAGGGTGGGTGGGGGGTGTCTTTGAGTCCATAGATTGTGGGATTATCATTGAGTGAGGTCAATCAGGAGTCTAAAGACCCTTCTAAAGACCCCAACTCAGATGGAGAGTTGCCTTTTCCCATAGGTGATAATCAGATGATTTCATGCTTTTAATATCATTTAATAGTTTTTTCCTGATTATGAATTAGTTGCAAATGTCAATACAGAAGATGAGAAAGTGTAAATCACCCACAATCCTACTGCCCATAGAAACACTTCTCTAACATTTTGGAGTACTTTCTATTACTTTTTTTCTCCCAACCCTAATATTTTTTGGCAAAGATCTTGTTTGGTAAATAATTTTTAGTTATCGATTTTAACATTTATTCTTTGCATATATACTTCAACTGTTTAGTATTAGAATGTAAAGCAAGTGGTGTAATAAAATGAATTTTAAGTTTTGCTTTAAAAATTTTCATTCAGGAGTAGGGAGCACAATAATATGAGTGGAGATGTGCTGGGAGAATGGAGGAAGGAGTTGTGGGAAGAAGTCAGGGAATTAATTGGTGGTCTTAGCTTTTATTCTCTGGGCCAAAAAGTGCCTGAAAACGGACAGCTAGTCCCTGGGGCTGCAGTTCACCAGGTGAAGTCACAAAATTGAGAGAACATCTGGGGCTGCAATGTGGTTCAAAGACCACGGTTAGGAGAACAGTTAGATTCTTTAAATACACACGTCTGTGTCCACCAGCATGGGGACGCTTCTCCACCTTTGGGAGCCTGGGAGACTGCCATGGCCTTCCCCTCTTCTTGCAGATCCTCAATAGAAACACTCGTGCAGAAAAAACTCATGACTTTTTATATCTGTGATCATTGTGCCAGCCAATAAGACAGCTGCCAGTGGGAAAGTTACCGAGTAGCAATGGCTGGTACTGGCCCATCCGAAAGCAGGAGGCGAGTCGGTGTAAGCAGGGTCTGCCCATGGGCTCACGCCTCCTCTTGACTTTGCAGAAATGCTCTCCAGGTCAGTTCCTCTGCATGGGAAATTATTCTAATCGGCAACCCCCCTTGCTCTGAGGATTCACCTTACGGGGGCGAGTGAAGCAAGGGCGAGTTCACAGTGGAGTTTAGAGAGACCAAGGTCAGATTTGCTTTAATTTCCAATGCTCTCAGCAGGACAGTGTTAACTGCAGCCTGTGGAAATGAGGGAGAAGGGGAGTGGCAGGAAACTGATAGAAAGTACTTTGTCTAAATTGTACATTATCTTTTAAAAAAAATCTGATTCTGTGCAAGATGCATTTAAGGTAAACACCCCCCCCACCCCCCACCCCCGCAACACACACACACACACACACTGCCACTATATCAAGAGAAACAAGGGGGCCCTGAGCGGACCATGAATTACTTTTCCTCCAGCAAGGCGGGTGACGGGAAAAACAATTACCCCTGACATCTACCTTATATCAGTGCCTTCTGTTTCATAAACAGATAGAATGTTGAAGCTTATGAAATCATCTACTTCCGCTCCTTTAAATTGAGGGTACAGAATTGTGAAGTGACTTGCTTGTGGCTGCAGAATTGATGGAAAAAAAATAGCAAGAACAAAGATCTCCACTTCAAGGCTACTGCTTTTCTCAACTATAAATCTTCATGCAAACAGCTTATAATTGCAGATTTATAATTTGCAGGAGGTATTTTCTGTACACTACTGTGAGATGGGCATGTCTGCCATTGTCATTTACCAATGAAGTCACGGATTAGAGTTAACAAGTTCGCTAAGCTCTTAGGACTATGCAATGGAGAAAGCATGTGTTTTTCTTAATATTTCTCTACTATCCTGGGCTTCTAATATCTTTTAAACCTTTTTTTCTCTAATATTAGAAGTTTTAGATACTTACTGTAAGAAACTTTGGAAGACACAGAAAAGCACAAGAAAAAACGAAATCACCTATAATCTTATCACCCAAAGATAACCAGTATAGCACTTTGAGATTATATATGTCCAGTATTTTTAATGCATAAATATATTTTTACATGGAATCATACTGTACATATTCTTATATTTTTACTTAAGATATGGTTTGTCATTTAATATTAACCAACATCACTTTTAACAGCTTTTAAGACTTTTTATACATTCATGATTTCTGAAGCGTCCATTTCCAGGTAGAATTTGAAACGCAAAGGCAATGGTTAAGGCTTCTGGTATTGCCAGAGATAGTATCTACTCACATCTCACTGGCAACATTCGAGTCCCAATTTCCCTGAATTTTGGTTAGTTTTATGAAGGAAAAAAGTGCCATCTCAACTCTTGCTTTAATACACATTTTTAATTCTAGCAAGACTGAACACGTATTGTCTATTGGCATTTATTCTTTTGTGATCTGCCGATTTAAGAATCATTTTTTTCTATTGGGACTTTTTCATGGGGAGACAGCATACAGAAGTGGCTCCACAGAAGGGCTCTGCAATCCTGCTGCGTGGGTTCAAAGTCGACCCTCACCACTTTTTAGCTATGACACTGAGGAAGCCATGATCCTCCTAAACCTTCATTTCTTCAGCTGCAAAATAACTAATACATACATACAAAGCCCTAATATGTACCTATTATGACTCTTACCATGTAAGAACTCTCTACATAAAGAATATCTCCCTTTTGTAATATATATCTTATCAACTCCTACTTAACATTTGTCCTACCCTTTTCAGTGTGTTTGGGTCTTTCTCTGTGGAAGAGGAAAACAGGAGTTGAACAGCTCTTACCATTTATTTGTTACATTTTATCTTTCCCAAATGAGCCTATCCGTTTTTCACTCTCCAAACAGGCATTTAGCCCTCCTGCCCTTCTTACTGGGTAGTACATGCTCATCTATGTCTGCCCAACAGGAGCGCCACTTCTCCATCCTCATGGAAGCTCTTTTCCTAGGCACAGGATTCTAGATTCCCATAGATCTGTATTGTTGGTGTGTTGTAACTCCGACCTGTTAGGTCTTCTGAGTAACGTGCTTTTCTGTTGCTGACTAGCCTATCCACCTTTCCACATTGTACTGAGAAGCCAGTCTAGGGATACTTTTCCTGCTGGGTCCCTCAGAAGAGGGTCGTCTCTAGATGGACCATGATTGTTACTTCTGTTGTCACTTCCCTTCAGCACGGTCTTTAACAAAAATTCACAAGACTGAAATACTGCTGATGAGACAAAACTCAACATGCACGAGGTGTCTGAATAAGTTCCAGACCAAAATAACTTTTAGCACCTGAGCCCGAGGGAGTGCACCAGAACTGAAGGATATGGCCCAGAAACCACAGCAGCTTCTGACCCACAGCCTTGGCAGGTAGGAAGCTGACAGCGGCTCGGACAGTCTGAAGAACCAGGCCTGTCTCCAGGCCCGGCTCTTTCTGAACACCCACCCCCACAGGTGTAGCCTAGCCTAGCCTACAGGTTGGGCAAGAAAACTACATACTAACCCCCCTCTGGGGGTGACACCAGGCCAAGACAAAACGCCTCACTACCCCATGGTCCAAGGACTCCAGGTTTTGTCTATTACCAGAAACCTCTCCACTGGTATTTTACTACATTCTGGCTACATCCATGTTTCTCAGACATGACTCCACTTCAGAAGGTACTAAACAGGAATGCTCCCCACAAAGTGGCCTTTTACTTTCTCAGATGTGCCAGACTTTCTTCCTGACCTTTTGTCTATTGTCCCCTCCGCTGGGAATGGTGTTCCCCGGCCCGCCTACCTCCCTCTCATCCTTCACATCATTTCTCTCAGAAGCCTTCCCTGACCCAGGGTTGGGCCAGGTACTCCTTAATGTCACAGTGTTGACCATACCAGTGTCGCTGCCTGTTTGCCCTGTCCATTAAACTGTAAGATTGTCTTTATTTTTTCATTGTATCCCTAGTTCCCGGCACAAAGCAGACACTCAAAAAATATCTGCTGGATAATTTGTATTTTTCTCTCTCATTTCTGGCCTACCCTGGTCTCAATTAAATAACTGATGAAACTATTTCCCCATCTGTCTTGCTGGCTTGTCACTGTTCTTAATTGATCAGTAAAATTCCTGAATTCCTCAGACAAAATGTCCCTCGTACTGTCCACACCATCCCCCAAAACTGGCATACCAGCAGTCAGATGCAGCAGCAGAGCCTGGGTTGCTGTACCCCTTCATGACTTCTCGTGGAAAATGAGGTTTCATTGTTACAGTCCCATTTTTCATATTTCCTGAGTATTCCTAACGGTGAGAGAAAAGCTGGAGGCAACGATTCTTCCACCTGCTGTTCTAAGTCACAGGAAAAGCTTTCAAAGAACAACTTGCTCAAGCACAGGGAAGTGCTGCATAAAGTTAGACTGACTCCCGGCCTAGTAGTTGACAACCTTCAAGGAGCCTTGCTCACTCCGAAGTAAACCCTTCTGAGTGAAAGATAAATCTGACTGAAGTATTTACAATATTCACAAGTTACTTTACAGTGTGGACTCTCTGATGGCGCATAAGGACTGATCTGTGCCTGAAAGCCTTCCCACATTCATTACATATATAAGCTTCATCCCCAGAATGGATCCTTTGATGCTGGACAAGGGCTGAGCTCCTTTTGAACGTTTTGCCACATTCGTTACATTGATAGGGTTCCTCTCCACTATGAATTCTCTGATGTCTGATGAGGTTTGAGCTCAAACTGAAGGCTTTTCCACACTCATTACACTCATAGGGCTTCTCTCCACTGTGTATTCTCTGATGGGTTATCAGCTCTGAGCTCTGCCTGAAAGCTTTTCCACATTCGTTACACTCATAAGGTCTCTCTCCTGTATGAATTCGCTGGTGTCTAATAAGCTTGGAGCTTTGGCTAAAGGTTTTCCCACACTCGTTACACTCATAGGGTTTCTCACCAGTGTGAATTCTTTGATGGATAATGAGATACGAACTCTGACTGAATGCTTTGCCGCATTCATTACACTTACAAGCTTTCTCACCGGTATGAATTTTCCGATGTCTAATGAGGGCCGAGCTCTGATTGAAGGCTTTCCCACATTCACTACATTCATATGCTTTCTCACCACTATGAATTCTCTGATGAATAATAAGGTAAGACCTTAAACTAAAGGCCTTCCCACACTGGTTACATTTATAGGGCTTTTCTCCGGTATGGATTCTCTGATGTTGTGTTAGAGAGGAATGCTGTTTGAAGTTGTGCCCACATACATCACATCTATAAGGTCTCTCTTCTCTAGGAACTTTCTGATATGTTATCGAGTTTGTACTTAGAATCAAGCTTCTCTGAGGCTCATGAGGGTCTGTCTTTCCTAGAGACTTGTGTGTGAAGATGATGTGACTAAAACTGCCTCCTTGGGGAGGGGATCTTCCTAATTTCTCCCCTGTGGCACCTCCTTGCTGCCGCTCTAAACTGCTTTCGTGTTCACTAACTCCCCTGAAGGAAGGTTCCCGGGGAAGTACTTCTGATTTTCCCCCCGAAATGTTCTTCTTTGTCGCTGATTCATTGTTCTTGCAATCTGAAATAACAGCAAAAAACAGATTTTTTTATTCTCCAGTCACTCTCAATACTCACTATGGTAGAGAAAACAGATACTTCTACCCACAAGATGTCACTGTCCACATGTATCTTTTCTTCAGGGTCCCTTCCCCTGTCTAATATGAAGGCCTACATCTACACTTTGCAGTTTACCCTTTCCTGCCTCCGCTGAGATTTCAACTGATCAGTTACCTACTATTCCTTTCCTATTATCATTAACTTCTTTCTCCACTGATTCCTTCCTGTTCCTCGGCATTTAAATAAGCTCAAGTCTCTCATCTTTTTAAGTCAAGCTCCTTGTCTACTCATCTCCCTCATGCAACCTCATTCCCATTTGGAGTAAACCTTCTTGAAAGGGTTGTCTGTACTCACTTCCATTCTGCAATCTGGTTCCTGCCCTGCTTGTACCCCTCCACCACCCCTGTACTACTCTCCACCAAAGCAGCCAACTTCATAGCTGCTTAATCTAATGGATACTTTCTGGATCTTACTTAGTTGGTCGCTCTACAGCATTGACACTGGGGACACCACCTTCCTTCTAGAAACATTCTTTTCCAGCTATATTAGCCTGATTTCTGTAGCTGTTCCTTCTTAGGTTCAAGACCAATCACTCAAACATGAGTTCCTTCAGGTTCTGTTCTGGGCCTTCTTGCAGCCTCACTCTATAAACTCTCTACCTCTTAGGCATCAATTACTAATGTACTTAGGTTATAAGCTAATGAGACCCCCAATTCTATTCCAGTTCTCTCTACTAAGCTCTAGACTCTCATATCCAATGATCCAATGCTCACTGGGCATATTACTTGTGAATATTTCACAAGCACCAAAATGTCCCAAAGTAAACAAATCATTAGATGTGTTTTTTTCCCTTGTGTTTTCCATTTATATGAACAGCACTACCATTAATCAAGCTGTTCAAGACTGAAACCTGAGTATCATTCTCAACTCCTCTCCACATGCTCCATTTTTAATAATGACCAGCTACGGCAATGCAATTTAAATGCTGATAAGCAGGATGCTGATAAGCTTTGCTCTTCCCCACCTCTCGCCATACTACAGCTTGATTTACTCACTGGGGCCACTTGGATTACAACAGTCTCTAACAGGACTCTACGCTTGCCTTCCTCAAATGTATTCTTCACTCTGCAACTAAATTCTAAAACACATATCCAATCATGTCACTCCATTGTCCAAAGCCTTCAACTGTACTGCACTGTACTGCACAAACTAGGATGATGCACAAGTTTTCACAATCTGGGTCCCATTTTCCTCTACAGTGTCTCTTACCACCTCTCTCTTATGAATTCTCTATTCAAGTCAATTGAAATACCTGCAATTCTAGAATGGGTTGTATTCTATCACCTTCAGGACTTAGTGGCCTTTGCTTGTGTGATATTGTAACATTGGAGATATACAGAGGGTGCCCAAAAAATGCATACACACTTTAAGAAAGGGAAAAACTGTATTAAAATTGTAATACTCAATATATACCAATAACAAAAGATGAATACAAGTCATGTACATACATTTTTTTTGCACCCCCAGTATTTGGTCTTTATCCTCTGTTTCTGGCACAAAGCTTTTAAAACCCTTGAAATTTCCTAAGTGGTAGAGGTGAGAGGAGTATCTTTCATTATTCATAATAAGCTCCTACCAACCATACCTGGGCTCACGCCTCATGAGTTGACTCTTAGAGGTAGGGGCTGATTGCCAAAGGAACCAACCAAGTGAATAGAGGGCTGGAACTTTCGGCCCCACCCTCTGACCTCCAGGGAGAGGGGCTGGAGATTGAGTTAGCTAATCACCAACAGCCACTGATTTATTCAATCAAACCCATGTAATGAAACCTCCATTAAAACCTTAAACGAAGAGGTTCAGAAAGCTTCCAGGATGGTGAATGCATTCAAGTGCCAGAAGGGTGGTATACCCCAAACTCCACAGTAACAGAAGCTCCTGCACTCAGTACCCTTCTGGACCTCACCCTATGTCCTGCTGTTCATTTGTGTCCTTTATAATAAACCAACAATAGTAAGTAAGGTGTTTCCCTGAGTTCTGTGAATCATTATAGCAAATTATGAAACCAGAGGAGGGGGTTGTGAAATCTCCGATGCAGCAAGTCAGAAGTGTGGACAACCTGGGGGCTCATTGCATGCAACTGTCATGTGAAGTAAGGGGCCAGTCTTACTGGACTGAAACCTTAACCTATTGGAGCCTGTGCTAATTCTGGGTAGTCAGTGTCAGAACTGCTTAATATGAGGGAAAGCCCCATACATCCGGTGTCAGAAATGTTGAGAAAGGGGCTGACCAAGTGGCTCGCTGGTTAAGAGTTGGCTTGGGAGCACGAGCTCTGAGCAGCAGGGCCGCCGGTTCGGATCCCACATGGGCCAGTGACGCTGAGCCCTCTACAGCTAAGATGGTGAACAACAGCTCAACGTGGAGCTGGGCTGCTGTGAGTCGCCGGCCACAGCGTAGGCTGCAGGCGAGCTGCCGTAAGCTACCATGAGTGGCCGGCAGCTGGCGTGAGCTGCCATGAGCCTCCATGAGCAGCTGTCCAATGGCCAGCAACCGATCTGCCTCACCCAGGAAGTGCGCAATGATCACAATACCAACATGGGCCAGTGAAGTGACGTCCTCCACAACTAGACTGAAGAACAAAAGTACAGCAAGTTGTCTGTTCCCCTTCCTCCAATTCCCCAATAAAATCTTAAAAAAAAAAAAAATGTTGAGAAAGTTTTTCCCTTTAGCTTAGGACACGCCTCCTCCCATCTATTTACCTAGCTTTTTCCTATAATAGTTCAAGTATTAGCTTAGATGTCTCTTCCTTCAAGTATTCCTTGAACCTCTAAGGTTGGGTTAGGTACCTTTGTATGTGCCCCCATAGCACCCAGTGCCTATTTTTATTCTATAATTGACTGCGCTATACTGCCATTGCCTTTTTACTTGTCCACCACCCCATCTAGACCTGAAAGTTCTTTGAAGGTAATGACCCAGTGCCTATCATCGTTCCAGACATCTATTAGTACCCTATTTATATAATGAAGGAATAAGTGAATAAGTGGCGGGAAACGGACACAAGGAGGCCTGACTGCTGTTTGTGAGGTTTGCCAAATACAAAGCTGCCAAAGTGAGCACCTTGGTCTTGAACAATAAAGGTGAGGCTTACACGTGGCATGTTTATAAAATGCAATTAATTCTGGATCCTCAAAACCAGAGGCCTAACTGATAACAGTTCCCAGATAAATTTCTATTTCTTACCGCTTTGAGGGGAAAGGCAAGGTTTCAGCTGTGTCTTTAAAGGCTGGAATTGGATGTTTAATTCTTGGGATGCTCCAAGACCTGTCAAATCCTTCCATGGTACTGCTGGTCCTCGTGGACTAGCTGGGACCTGAAATCAGTCAAGTATGGTTAGCTTTGTGAGCAAATCCCTAAGGAAAAGGCTTAGTAAAAATCTGAGGTCAACAAAGAGTTCTGCAGGGATAGGAGAAAAGCACTATTTAAGGATAGAGACGGGCATGGCCCTAGTAGTTACTTCAGGGTTATGGTTCAGTAGAGACAAATTTTCATACTATGATGATGATGCCACACACTCCAATTTGTAAATTCCTTTTCCCACAACATATTGCATCTCCTTGTTCCCACCTGCTGCCCTGGATCATCAAATTCCCTCTCCAAATCCTCCAACAGAGTCACAGCTTCCTCGCCGCTTTTTGGACTATGTTGCTGAACCCAGATCTGCAGCTCTTCAGGCAGGATGCTCAGGAACTGCTCCAGCACCAGCAGTTCCAGGATCTGCTCCTTCGTGTGCATCTCTGGCATGAGCCACTGATAGCAAAGCTCCTGGAGTCGGCCCAGGGCCTCCCGGGGCCCAGGTGTCTCCTGGTAGCAAAACTTTCTGAATTGCTGGCGAAACAATTCTTGGCAGGATCGGGTACTCCCATTTTGCTTTAATTTCTGACCCCAGGAGAGGCTTTCTTCTACTTTCACTAGTATCAGTTCTTGTTCCTGAGGATTCTGAGGTACCAGGGTTGAAACTGCTCTGTTTTCCACAGCCATTCTGGGCTGAAACAGTGTTATCAAAAAGTTCACTACAACTTGGTATTGTCCTTCAGAGTTTCTTTGAGTAATCTCTTCTTTCCTGAAGGATACAAAAGCATTGTTAACCTCTAGCACTGTAATAAATCTTTAAGAACGTATCATGATATAAGTCAGTCATCTGAGTAACTCTGAGTAATATATTGAAAGGGAACAGGTTTGAGGCTGTAATAAATAATCATGACAAACTAAAAATCACTCATGTCATTCAGTGTCTCCTATTTTGTAGAATTCCTACCACTAAAGCTATCAGAAATTATTTTACAAGCAAAGAATGCAATATTAACATGACTCACATTCGTACTGAGAAACGTAATTATCTTCCAATCCTGATTCATTAAGGAGAAAAATCTGTCTTTAACGTGTGTGTAAAACCTGCAGAAGTTCTTCTTTAATAAAGTTTTAAGCCTCAGATTTCCAAGGGTAATGATATCTATTATAGCTAGGATTTAATAATGCTGATTTTTAAAAATTTATTTTTAGTGACCTATCCATGGCAAATAATGTTGATTTTCATTTAAGGTAGTAATAAGACATTTTAAAAAATGCATATTAAACATGAGTTGATTTAAATAAAATATTATTGGATATTTGTAATTTGATCAATTTGGGCATTCACTAAATTTCTTCAACAAATACTAAGGCACTTACTACAGGGATCTATTGTGAGCCGGGTATTAGGATGCAAAGGTTTCTGCTTGTGAAAAAATTTAGTCTACCGAGGAATTAACCAAGAAGTATTTGTTAAATGCTTACCATGTGCTCAAAAACACGTCAGACATCAGAGACACAAAAGAAGCAAAAAGGTCAATTCCAGCTCTCAAAAAGCTTAGAATATACTGCAGTAAACATTTTAAAAAAGTGAAATATGGCAACAATATGCATTGAATTGCATGCTATAGATCAAACATGATCTGATTGTAGGATGGAAGAATATCGATAGGAGGGTATATGCCCTTGAATTAACAGATCAATAAAATTTAACCCTAACAATACCATTAACTTTAGAGATTAGAAATATTCAGGCTACAAATCTGGTTTATTAACCAGCTCGGCCGCACAAGCCTTTCTATTTTTATATCCCGGTTAAACCACAGAATTTGCAAAATGAGGGGGGTTTGTGAATAACTGCCCTTTCCGCTGGAAAGCAGGGGCTTGAACGCTGGCCTCTGCGACCTCAGGACACACGGAGACGCCGCCCAGAGAAGGGGCCGCGACCCAGGGATGGGCAGGCCGAGGCGAGGGGCTCTTCCACCCAGCGCCCGACGTCCAGGCCGCACGCCCTCCCCGCCCTCCCTCCGCCTCGGGGCCCGCATCCCTCACCGCGAAGCCCCGAAGAGCCCAGGGAGCAAACCACCGATCCTGAGCGGCGAGCCACAAAGACCGGAAGTGCACGCCCGCGGCTTTCCGCTCTCGATTACTCCACAGCCTCCGTCCGCCCCGCCCCGTCCTCACAGGCAGCCAATCAGCGCCGTGGTTCCTCCTGGTCCCATTGCCTCCGCTCTTTGGTCGCTGACCCCGTGGAACTCCAAGCCACGGGCGTGGGGAGGGTGCCCTGAGAGGTGGGGTCCTTGTGAGAGGCCGCCGCTCCCGGGAGGTCACCGCTCCCCGCCTTAGCCCTCTCCTACCTTGCCTAGCTTTCTTCCACCGCCACCCACCATACCTGATTCCTTCCATCTTCAGTGTTTTAGAAAAGTACTCCCATTTTCATATATTTCCAGTATCTCTGACAAAAGTAAACAAATGGATTAACAAAAAGGAACAACTACTTATATTGCTCTTCCGTACAACAGCTCTGTGAAGTAGCTATAATATCCCCATGTGACAGTTATAGACACTGTCCAAAGTGAAGCTGCTTGTGATCAGAGGCACCAAAGTCCCCATAGTTCAAGGACACTGTGGTACCCCAGATCCTGCCCCTCTAAATTGGGGTTTTCCTATTTTCCCCTGGAACCTAGCTGGCATGAAGTATTAGTATTTAAATTTGTCTTTGGCCGTTTAGTAGGTGAAAACCAATGTGTCATGGTTAAAACTAGTTAGCTTTAGGTGAGGTATTTGCCTCTCGTGTTTATTGACCATTTTGGTTCTTCAACGAAATCGTTTTTCCCATTTTAATGATTGCGGTGTCACTATTCTTCTTTTATATTTGTGAGAGTTTTTTATTTGCTAAGGATATCAACTCTCATTTGTTACAAACATGTCCCCTTTTGTTCACATGTCATTATTTTAAAAATGTTAGTACAAGGTGACATACATAGAAACAAATTCTCCTTTGTGAGCTAAGACAATTAAAATACACATATTTGGAAAAAATTTATTAGCATGCAGGGCTATTAGTGACTTATTAAATAGTTCTTAATCATTGTGAAACGACTACAGCAATTTTACATAGCAAGAGAACAAATATGATTACTTTGTGTTTCAGTTACCTATTTCTGCATACTGATCAAATTGGACTTAGTGACTAAAAACAGCAGGTATTTTATTGTTCCTGATTCTGTGGTCAGGAATTCCGGCAGGGCTTAGTAGAGACGGCTAATGTCTGCTTTATGAGGGGTCAGATAGTGTGGTTTCACTCCCATTGAAGTGGTCTTGGTGCTGCCTCTTGGCTGGAGTTACTTGATTCTCTTCTATAAAACCTCTCTCCATGTAATCTCTCATCATTAAGGAATTGAGCCTAAGTGTTTTTACATGGTGGCTGGCTTCCATGAAAGTGAAGAAAGGGAAGATGCTAGTTCTGTTAAGGCCTAGGTCTGGAATTTGCATTATATTACTCTGCTGTGTTCTATTGGCAGAAGGACTAGATTCTCCTTCATTTTTTAATAGGAGGAGCAACTTGAACACAGAAAATTTTGGCAGTTATCTTTGTATCCAGTCTACCACACCTTTTGTTATATTGAGAAGCCTACTACTTAGGAGTGGAACTGTTGAAAGACAGAAGGAATACTTTCAACTGCAGGAATACCTTACTAAATGTCCTTATTGTTTAAGTTTTTATTTATTTTTTATTGGGGAATTGGGGAAGAGGAACAGCCAAATTGTTGTCCTTCAATCTTAGTTGTGGAGGGCGCAGCTAGCTCAGCTCCAAGTCTAGTAGCCATCCGGCCGCCCGTCGGCAGTTTGTGGCTGCTCAGCTCAAGGTGCTGTGTTCAATCTTAGTTGTGGGTGGGCATAGCCCACCATCCCAAGCAGTCATCGAACCGGAAACCTTGTTGTTAGAAGCATGTGCTCTCACCAGCTGAGCCATCCTACCACCTGTTGGCAGCTCAGCAACAGCTCAGCTCGGGCAGTGTCACTGGCCCACGTGGGAATCGAACCGGTGACCCTGTTGCTCAGAGCTCGCGCTCTTAAGCCAACTCTTAACCAACTGAGCCACTTGGCTCGGGCAGTGTCACTGGCCCACGTGGGAATCGAACCGGTGACCCTGTTGCTCAGAGCTCGCGCTCTTAACCAACTGAGCCACTTGGTGGCCCCTATTTAAGTTTTTATATTATCCCACATAGCTACATGGGTGGCGGTAAGGCCATTCCCGGGGTTGGTTAATTTCAATGGCTTGGTGATATTTCTTTTTCCTTTTTGCTCTGCCATCTTCTAGTGTCTTGCCTTGTTCTCCAGTCTGGCTTCCCTTACGGTTTTAAAACAGCTGTCTCAGTTCTGATTATAGATGATATCCAGAAGCAGAAAAAGGGAACACTCTTATCTCCTGCCCCTTTTTAAGACTAGGTAAAATCTCTTTGTCCAGCAGACTTTCCTTCGTATCTCATAAGGTTAAACTGCTTCAACTGTCTATGCTTATCACCAACAAGGGGAGCAGGGTAAGGCCTTCATGATGGACTTAGGCCAATTGAGATTCATATCCCAGAGCTGAGGAGAGGCCAGCCTCTCCTGAAGGGTGCTGACAATCTGAGGAAGGTAAACAAAGGTAAGGTGTTAGGAATTGGTTTCTAGTGTTTGACCTGACCTATGCCATCTACGAAGCAAGTTGCTCTCAGTGATCACCAGTTCACCCTGGGAGGGGTGTCTTATCACCTGAAAAGAATGTTCTTACGTAGAAAAAAGTAGGCCCATTAAGTTGTTTACTGCTTTGGAACATACTGAGCTTAACATGCACTTGACACTTGTCTACAAATTACCTGCTTAACAAGCACTGCCACTTGGCTACAAGACACCTTTGTTCTTGGAGGCTACATAAAGGAAGCCTTATCCCATTTTAGGTGGAAATTTACTGTTTTGCAGCTGCTGAAGTCTCTGCTTCTGTGTGTAAGTTCCCTTAATAAACTCTGTTTAATTCTGGAGCTGTCAGCCTCTTTCTTCAGCCTGTTGGCCCTTTCGAGGTCGGTTTCAGTATACCTTGGGAAATTTTCCCAACATAGGGTTATGTTAAAAAGGCAGGAATGTAAAAGGCAGAAAATGGGGCTAGATCGAGGAATGTTGACTGTAAAATAGTAGCATTTACCTCAATAGGTAATCCCATTCCTCTATATAGGTAAGGAAGTGACACACCAAGAAAAAATTCAAATTCCTATCATTCTTTATAAGATTTATTATAAATTATAGCTATTACTGTAAATTATATAAATTATTGCTAGTTTCTAGGACTTGGTTAAAATTCCCAGCGGGATAGCAACTGATTACCTTTTAAGGGCTTTGGCCAACAATTTCCACTTACACAGTGTCTTAGTCCGTTTGAGTTGCTAAAACAAAAATATCATAGACTCAGTGGTTTATAAATAACGGACATTTATTTCTTACAGTTTTGGAGGCTGGGAAGTCTGTGATCGAGGCGCCACTTCCTATTTCATAAACTGGTGATTGGTGAATACAGCTAGTCATTCAGTAAAGTTCAACTGCTTGATTTGCTGTATCATCTAACAGTGCTCTACTTCATGGTTTTCATCAAGTGAGATAAGCTTACTGACAGTCTCTTAACTATAAACCCCTATTCAATAATAAAAGAGAAAATGGCTTCTGATGCTTAAGGGAAATGGGTCATTCCCTTACTCAGCAAATGTTAGTGAGCGTTAGCATATGTGAAACACTAATAAGAAAAGCGAGGAAATCAAATGAAATAAAAGAGAGGCTTCCTCACTTCGTTTGCCACTTATAACTTCTAGAGTAAAAATTCCACAAGAGCAGGAATTTTGTTTTTCCACTGTTGTTTCTCCAGTATTGCCTAGCATACCTACATATAAGAGAGAATACTGGTGCTGTTAAAGTAATTTTAAAAGGAGGCCATTAGACTGAGGTGGTTCTAATGCCTTAGCAGCCTACTAAGCAAACCAAACCTAAGCTGCAGTTGATACCTGTAAATGCCTCAAGGTTAGGAAGATGAAATTTAAGAACTTATCACAAATAGCTAACTGGGCTTTCTCAAGTAAGGCAACCACTTAAGCTACAGTCAATCAAAGAATTCCCTTGCTCTGCACTGTAAAGCTTTTTCCTTAGCTCCGTACGATGCCTGTAGCCATTTTCAGTTTAACGCTGCCTGATTCCTGTAGAGCTTTGCTTAAATAAACTCTTCAAAATTTTCATGTACCTCAGTTTACCTTTTAGCAGTGCTAAAACTAGTGATTAGTATTTGAAGGATTCAAAGAAATGGAGTATTGAGAAAGGAAAATTTGAACAATATGCTTAGATTATTTATCCTAACCTTGGATTTATTTTAATTAAGCATAGTAAGATGACTGACACAGAAATAACTGCCTTTGAAAGAAGTTTCCCAAGGGTGGGAGGCACCCTATGCCACACAGGGTCACATGGGGTTACTCATGGAGAAGCAGAGAGAGAGAGAGAGAGA